AATTAAGATCTGTAAATATGACACTAAATCTATGCAGTGTTCTTAAATTCCTTTATAAGAAATGAAAGAAGAATAAGTTAAATAATATAGATGTGTGTTATTATAGAATATTGTACAAAAAGTATTAATAAATTTAGTATTAATAATGATTTCTTCGATCTTATTTTTGCAGAATAATCTGAATTTAAATCGACCTTAAAGAAATCGTAAGTATTTCATTAATTAGGTGTTTTCATACTGTCATTCGGTCGAACGAAAGCGTTTCCTTTTGCGTGCCATCCATCTTTAACGTCGCATAATCGCATGCATGCCCGGCGCGTTCCGCCGTTTAAGCACGAAACGAACGCCCAAACGTCGCGTCTAAACAAAACTTTCTTCGTTTTTCTTTGTGGAATTCCTATTTTTCCTAAGCGGGTTTCCCCGGCGACTGATAATTACGGAAGAACACCGGCTCCGTGACGCAACCGTCGAGCTTTTACATAATGCGTGAACCGGCTACAGCATTGTCGTTCGTGACGCACGGATCGTGCGTTCAAATTACAGACTTCGATTGATTCGATAATAATCTGATTTTATTTCACTCGAGAAAATAAGTTCTGTACTTACCGTTTGTGAGAATCGATTTCACTGCTCCTTTTTCGTCCATTCCCTGAAGAGAAACGTCCTGCTTTTTGGCGCTCAACTTACTCCTGGCTGCACGGACGATTAGCATATCCTGATTCTTCACCTTCTTCAGTTCGACCGTGAAGTCGCCGATTAATTCCGCTGCGCATACACGTGAATTCATTATTTTTTACCAGCCAGACAGAAAACCAACAACGTCTCGCTGACGTATAAAATTCTAGTTTTTTTCTATTTCTGTTTTTATTCAAGATTTTCAAATATACAAATTATTCATTTTGGGTTCGGTGATTTACTCACTGAAATTGCCACTTAGCTTGCCGTTCCCTCTCACCAGTTCCTGACCAACTTTTCCAGTCAGTTGGTAATCAGATTTCACGCGGAGCAAGGGAACTTTTATTTTCATAATCACATGCATCACGTCGTCCTTGAAACAAGAGTTAAAAAGTTGAAATGAACAACTTCGATAAAAATTGATATATCACTTTTGATGCTTGAAGGAAATCGAGTTCGATGTGATTGTAATACCGGAAATAAAATACTGACATCGGTTTCGTTGTCTCTGTGAGCACGCTTATGTCTGGCTCCCTGGCCCAGTTTCTCTCTATTCCCACGATCCATTCCACCGTAGTGATAAAGCAGCTGCATGCCCTCTTCGAAATATCCTTGCTTCTCCTGATAATCCCTCGCGTATCGAGAAAGACCGTCCAGCTTTTTCGCTGCTATAGCCGCCTTCACTGCGTCGTTCCTTTTCGTCAACGACTCTCCGTCGGTGCAGTTGCGACTAATAATCCTCTTATTCCCAAGAATATCCTATTTACATACGATAAGCCTCATGCAAAAACTATACAGAGAATTTATTTCTAAAAATTCCGGAAACGAAACGCATTGA